GGGGGGGGGGGGGGGCAGAGAAACATTTATTCAAAAGGAGAAGGAAGACTGCCCTTTCTCCTTTCATGCTATAAACTATTTCCAAAGATTGTGGGGATGGGGGGGGTGTCGCAATTTGGCAGCCGTGGGAGCGATGTGATGCCTCCATGCCAGCCCCACTGCTTCTTCACTCCCCCCTTCCAAGGGGTTGTGTGAAATGGGAGCAAACCTGCGCCCCTTCTCCGCTTATCAAGACCAGATTTTTTGCAAGGCTCCCCTGCTTCCCAGACACACATCCTCCACTGTGATGGATGGTTTGAAAGAGGAGAAATCTTAGCAAATAAATCAGTTACAGATGAAAACGTGCTGGAGGGAGGGAACCGGGGACGGCGGGGCGGGGGGGGCCCGTTTTGCAGCCGTTAAAATATTTCCATCTGCCTTTCCTCAATGCTCTCTGCTCGCAAGGCGAGGAGGAAAGAATCCGTGAAGAATTGCAGCTCGGAAATTTCTTTGGAACATCTTTTAATCTCTCCCCTTTTCCCTCTCTTCCTTAGCCGTGATTAAGAATGGAAAACAGAGATCTGAAATGTATTAATTTGGGGTTGACTTTGGCACGCGAGAGAAAGTGGAGGGGGGGGTCTTTGGACAAGAAGACGACAAACCGTCTTCTGACTGTTAAAAAAACTGAAGCGAAAACGTCGCCTGTGTTTAGAAAGACATCTTTTGCGGTTACCCGAAGAGACTTAAAAAAAAAAAGTGTTATTAACTCTGTTTAAAAAAAAAAAGACATTTACTTGGGCTCCCTTGGGGGTAAAAACTCCACATTATTTTAAGGTGGTTCCAAATTCCGATTTGTTAGAGATTTACACCATGAATATAACATCTCCCTTGCCATTCTGGTTGGTATTACCAACTGAACGAGAATTGGATCGATACTCAATCACTGTACAACTTCAGTGAGTGTTTTAAATTGGGGGGGAAAGCCACAACTTTGACTAACAGAACCAAGTTACCCATGAAGTCACTTTTTCTTTAAAATAGGGAGCGGGTACCCAATTTAAACCGCCCCACGGCTTGAAACCCACCACGCTTACCCCACTGGCTCTATCCTTTGTTCCCCCAGCATTTGGTGGGGAATTGTTTATGGAAAGTCAGGGGTAGACTACCTCTGGATAGGAAGGCTCCACTTAGCCTTCCTCCTTGGGTATCTGGCCCCCTCTTTGGAATGGCAAGGAAAGCTTAGATGCTGCTTGATTTAAGGTAGAAAATTTAAGAAAAGTCTCCAAAGCTTTAAAGGGACAATAGAAGCCTTTAAGCCGATTCTTAATCCATTCTGGGAGGGAGGGAGGGGGCTTCTAAAAAGCCCCCCCTTCTCCTTGCAACAGTCTCTTCCTCCTTCCCCTTGTTTCTTTAATCACCCCTTTTCTGGATGAATAATCTCCAAATGTTTTTGCTTTCCCACTGAAGAGGAAATCTAGTTTCGCTCTCTATGATTTGGGCTTTCCTACCCAAACATGCCCCATCTTGCTTCCTCCGGGAAGCCAAACCGGATCAGGCCAAGTTATGACTTGGAGAGAAGGCTGGTGGGAATGTCGGATGCCCCATGCCGTATTTGGCTCCCGGGATCTGGGTTGGGAAAAACCGCCCGGAAAACGGGAGGCCGACATGGTCGGCTTGGTTCCACCAGCTTGTCTCCGCTGAAGGCGATGTTTGGGTCCCCACCAGAGTTTTCCCCCTCTTTCCCTCTCCCCTGAAACTAACCTTGGTCACTACTCAAATGGGATACCTTGCTGGGGGGGAAACAGGCCACTTGCTCCAGAAGTAGCCTTGGTTGTGACGTGTCAGCCCTCGCACCATGGCATCTTCTGGGGTCTCGAGGATAGAGGTTCCCTGGGCGTGCACACTGAGTTGCACCCGAGCGAATACTTTTCCAGGTTCGCCTCCAAGGGGCATCAGCATCGTGGTTCTGGCGAACAGACCGGGCATCTAATGTCCCTGCGCGCCAGCAACTTAAAACCTTCCAAGCCCCCTCTGCAATGCGGTCCGGCCTCAGTTACTAACACCATTAAAACACCACAATTCCGTGGACAGGTTAAAACCGCTTAATTCCCACGTGCTTTTGGAGCCCCTGGCCAACCGTGGCTGCCCGTGGGCTTTATGGGGGAGGGAAAGAAGCATTCTCTTTGCTTTTTGGCGCCCTTTTAAAATACGATTCTGATTTAACTGGGATTAAGTTTTTTTGCTTCGTCCTGGCTTGGTTAAATGCTGCACGCCGCACCGAGTCCCTTAAGATGAGATTGGGTCATGCACGCTAGAAATAAATATTAAAAACAAATAAATAAATGCCCCCTCCTCCTTGGCTAGAACAAAAAGGCGCAGATATCCACTCCCTGCCTCCTCTCGTCTATTTTTATGCACCCCTTTGGTAAATCTGCATCCTGCTTTTTGCTTGCAAGAGCCAGGATGCCCTTTTAAAATATTGCAGCTGACCACCCCTCCTAAGTGGGATCCTCCAACGTCCCCAATCTTGTGGAAAGACCAGTAATTTGGGGAGGGGGGCATCAGAACTCAGGTTTTCCAAGTTTACTTGCTGCAAAGACGGAGGATTTGTGTATAGTCGTCTTTGCAGGCTACGCGGGGAGCGACCTTGCTTTTAAATTTATAGCCGTGTTTCCAATTCCTCTTCGGACGTCTCCAGGTCTTGGTTTCTTTGAAATGAGGGCCCCACCAGCATCCAGGGACGGGCCATTCTCTTTTCAACAGTTTAACAGGTTCTCTGGGAGAAACCGTGGGGGTTTCCCACCTGCTGCCTTTTGTCTCCTTTTTCTAAGAAAAGAGAAACGAATCCTCCTGTTCGGAAACCTGAATTTTAGCTTTGTTTCTCAGCTGGCGTATTAACTGGCCTGTTTCCTTTCTTTTTTCTGAAAAAGTCAGGGACTGGGGAAAGGCAGCATAGGAAGGTCGGTTTTAGAAAACAGACCTGTTTCTTTCTGCCGGCTTCCAAGCCCATCATCCCCAGCCAAACGAGATAACTGCCCCTTTAAATGGCGAGACCGAAAGCAGTCGGGCTTCACGAGGAGTGTTGATGCTAATAGCATCTCCGCAAAGACGTGGGTATTTTTCTCCAGGTTTACCTAGAGAATGGACCAAGGGCCTGGTTCTTCCCTGGCTTTGGGCACTTCAGAGCAGGGGGCTTGTGCAAAGTCACAAGCAGTGGCTGTGTGGGCGGGTGACTCACGCTCATTTCCCACAGAGATGCACATCTGCGCCTGGGCGCACGGCCGCAGCGTTTTTCAAAAGCAAAGGGGATCTTTCCGAGCATCCCCTTCCCACTCGCTTTGCACCCAGTCCACACTGAGAATTCTAGGAAGGGAACAATTTCTCTGGGCTGTTTCTGATCCCGTTCGACCTTTTCCATAATTTGGTTTCAGCTGCTCGTCCCCAAAAAGCAGGATTACGCTCCTTCCAAAAATTGGCAAGACGCGGGGAAGGAGAGAGCAATAAATAAAAAGATGGGGTATGATGAATGGGTTCGCAACCGGGGACTCCCTACAGCCGCATCTTTATTTATCCAACTGTAATTGCAGCACGCACACCTTGCAAAATGCATTAAAGGAAGACTTTAACACACGCGCGCGCCTGTCTGTCTACCTGTTTATCACCTCCTATTAATGCATCTTTCTGATTTCCTGACGTCGCACTGCTTTTCGGGGTGCTGAGGGTGCCTCTGTTTTCCTAGGATTTTTGGTACTTGGGGGATTTTCTTTCTTTCCCTCTCTCTCTCTCTCTTAAATTAAAGTTTACCTTGAGATCAGCTGAATTCCTGCTGACATCACAGAGGCAGCCCTACGATTTTAATTTGGCCTATCCAATCCTTCTGTGATGCTTTCTGCAAATCCCTGTTCTAGCCTACAGCCCTGCCGGAGATTTCCTCATGGTCCTCCATCCAAACACAGTCAAACCCGGCCCCACTTCGCTTTTTGAGATCAGCCCAACAAGGACCAGCTTGTTTAGGGCTGCACCACCCCTCGGGCAGCACGTTTTCCGGCTAAGAAATGTTGATTAAAATGCACCAGCTTTCACGAGCTGCATTACGCGTTGCCAACTCACCTGGGCCCCCTGAAATAATTTTCCAAGGGGTTGTGAATTCCTTCTCTGGATAAACATCAGTCGCTGGGGTTGATCTGCTGCGGGATCCACTCGAGATCCTCCACAACTCTCGGGAAAGCACAGCCACGTACCGAAGAGAGAAAACGTGAAAACTTTATAAGTTTCTCCTTCGAGCAGCATCCGAGTGCCGTAAAACAGCACCACCATTTTGTGGATGATCACCAGTGACAAATAAGCATACTCAGACAACCTTACTAGAGGCATTTTTAAAACTTTTGGGAATAGCGTCACGCAGAAAGCATTGTTCCTTATGGAAACACCGATAAAATAATAGCAGGGGGAGGTGAAAGGCTTGGAAACATTTTACTCTAGGTAAGGGAAAGTGTAGAAGACACTATCTTAGGGCTCCCCATGTCTAGAAATGCAATTTCTCTCTGACTAATTATTAAGAGCAGCCCCGATCGCTTCCCAACTTCCCAGGCTGAAGACTTGTTTGGGAAGTCAAACTTCCTAGAGGACCCTAACCCTAACCATGTTTTTGCCAAGGAAGCAACATGGATATTTCCAGGAAGTCAACACAGAATCTTTACCTTTTTTAAAAGCACAAGAGCACCCCGGGGTCATTTTCGGTGGTCCCTTTGCAAACTTAGCAGAAGCCATCAAACTGGATTGTCAAATTGGAGTCAATTGAATTATTCGGCTTGGAGCGACCCCTGCTGGCCATATTCTAAATTACGGCCTTTTTCCCCCCCTTCTGGAACTCAACCCCCAGCTTTGCTACAGAAGAATTTGAATTGCATTGGAAAGATATATTTCAATCACCTGATTTGTTTCTGTTCTTCTAAACCACTTCTTAGTATTATTTATTGTTGTTTTCTTATAAGTTCTTATAAGTTTCTTATCAAGTTCTATGCACCCACAGGAAAAGTTATATAAAATCATTACAGACAAAGTAGAAACAACCCCTAATATTAATTAGCCCGTTGCTGTTTCCTATTTAAAAGATAAATTTCCTTTGTGTTGCATCTATTTTATTTATACTGCTTTGGGGGGGCATTTTTATCAAAAGACAAACTGCTCAACAGGGCGTCTGATTTACGCAGAATGTCTTCAGAGGGAGAAATACAACGTGATTATGGATCGCATTGTCCTTTTTATTTTAACAATTGCAAATGCAATTCCGGTTCTCAACGAACGATAACATCACCTAAGGCTAAAGGTCCTCTCTTTAAAAATGTGTAAGAATTCCAAAAAAAATATAGAATAAGCTTGAGGTATGATGGGTGTTTTTATAGTCCAACTGTATGCCCTGGAAACATCTGGTTGAAACAGGGCTTTGGCAACTGGCAGAGAGATGCCAAGGAAAGCAGGTAGGGGAACATTTTCTGCTCCGGCCATTTAAAAAGTTCATTTCAACCCAGTTCTAGGTTTCCGCTGGAGCAGGCCACGATGCTGAGACTCTTCCTGAGCGCCCTCTTCCCGTGCCTGAGTCTTGCTCCTCCGCCTCCCATCAACAAGCTCGCCCTGTTTCCGGACAAGAACGCCTGGTGCGAGGCCAAAAACATCACCCAGATTGTTGGCCACAATGGGTGCAAGTCCAAAGCCATCCAAAACAGGTACGGTCCAGCTCGCCCCGATCAATTTCGCCTCCTCCTTCAGGCCTGACGGAGCAGAAATTGCACAGAACCCATTTGGGGTTCCTCTCTTTGCACTGTTAGCAACTCAGATTTGGACAGTCGTTCCTGTTAGGGGCTATCACTCAAGAAAAATATTCTGTTTTTTTGGAGGAGGTAATTTGCCTCGAAGCAAAGAACAGGCTTTGCCATCTAGCCTCTTCCGTCACTGTCTTCCCACTGTGGGAAGGCAAATTCATCCTTTTGCCCCTGACTGGCATCCAAACTATTTTTTTAAAAGTTATTTCAACCTGGTAGGATGAAGATAAGAAGGAAGGGAAGGGTGTGGCCCGGGAAAGAGGCTTCATCTTGGCTGTTAGCATTTACATCCAAAATGTATATTAGATTTACATGGCTGTACCCAGATGCCACAGAAAGATTATTCATGAATTTGCGCGCCTCCTTCCTCCGTAAGCAATGCACCCTCTTAAACTTAAATCTGCACCACACAGGCCAAGCCCCAACCCAGTTCAATCATGACGTGGCCACCGAGTGCCCACTGGACCGCTTCAACAGTGCGGAAGAGCGCACGCGCCCTTAAGCTTAGCAGCACAGCGTTTCTTCTGCTTTTCTAAATGCAGCCTGAGGTTTATACCAATAAAAGTGTGCAAGGAAGGATCAATGAAAATCAGAAACGCTGGAGAAGCTCTGTGTGTGCTCTTTGTCCTGTTAACTGTGGAGCGGATGAAGCCCGCAGTGCCTATATAAAGACAACCTGAATCTCAGCCTCAAGAGGCACCAAGAGCATGTACAAAGTGCACGCACACACACACACCCACATTATTTCTTTTTTGCATTTACATCTCTTTGGCTTTCCTTGGAAAGGTGACTCACGTTGGCCCACCGGCACTAAGTCTGGCTACCCCAGGAATCTTTGCAAAAGCAGGTGCAAACTCCCCTCCAGGGAAGGACGAGTGGGGAAGAAGGACCCCTCCTCGTTTTCCTTGCTCCAGGCCGTGCCAAAGCCTCACCTCCAAACTGCCCACCTGGGGGCACCTGTGGGCACCTGTGGGCACCTGTGGGCCTCAGAGCCACCTTCAACTGGGCAGATCCTGGACCGAGACCAGCAGGACAGAGTTCTCCTCAGCAACCTCCGCTAAAACGCCCCCCTAATTCCTGCCCGTCTTTCTCCCCTCCGCAGGGCGTGCCTGGGCCAGTGCTTCAGCTACAGCGTCCCGAACACCCTGCCTCAGTCCACGGAGTCCCTGGTGCACTGCGACTCCTGCATGCCTTCCAAAATCCAGTGGGACATTGTGAGTCTCTCCCTTTTGCCCGGGGATAAGGGTGTGGGCATGGGCATGGCTCAACAGATGGCACAAAGGGGGTGTGGGTACCGCGCCCGTTTGTGCAATACAGTCCTTTCTTTGACGGATCCAAAGAGGTGGAGTGGCCAGGCGTGCCACGTAACGTAGCAACCTCCCAGCCAGGGTTGACCACTGAGAAGCAGGACCCGGGCTGCAGAAGGGAACCGGGTGCCTCTAAACCCAGGGGCACCCAAAGAGCGCCTGCCCCTTCAAGATTCCCTCTCCAGAGGACGGGCGGACTTGGGGCGCCGCACAGCTCCTCATCGTGTTCCTCTCTTCCCGTCCCCAGGTAGCGCTGGACTGCCCCGGCAATGAAGAGCACCCTCGGGTGGAGAAACTGGTGGAAAAAATCCTTCAGTGCAGCTGCCAGGCCTGCGTGAAGGACCTGGCGCACGACGGTCTGCTCCTAAACGTCTACCTGAAAACCGAGGATCCCCTTCCCCCCAAAGGCCCCAACTCCCCCTCCCTCGGCCTGCACCCCGGGGAAGACGCCGCCAAGCCCCCGCCCCGCCAGCCGGAAGACGAGACGAAGGACTGAGCTCAAGCCACCCCTCTTCCGCTTCTCTCCTCCTCTCTCTTTCTCCTTCCCCTCTCAACTATCCATCCCGCTTTGGTGAAAGGGAAGAAGAGGCAGCTCTTTCTGGAGACCCAGGGAGCCCCACGGCCGCCCCAGAGAGAACAAGGGAGCTGGGCTGGAGGGTGCGGATTTGGGGCGCAGCGTGACGTTGGAAGGACAAGGAAGAAGAGAGGCTCCTTGGAGAACTGGCAGGGGAAGGACTTCAGCAAGATGGAGTCGCCCTTGCCACCTTGCGGAGGGACCCATTTTTTTCTTCACCAGGCGGGGAGTCCGCCGGCTCCCGACGCCTCTGGTCGGGGATGCTGAAATGGGAGGTCGCCAGCAGACAGGCCGTCTTCACGGCCTCCATTCTGACGTCGCTTGCCCACCACCAGGCAGAAGAAACGTGGATTTTCTGGCCACGTCCCTGAGTGCGTGACCCGACTGAGAAGAAATCCTGTTAGTCAGTGTTATGGACTTTTATCAAAACGGAGCGTTAACTTGTTTGAATCCTCTTCCTTTTCCCTGAGGCCTCTGTAGCTGTGTGAAGGCGAGGAAGGGGGGCTGGGAAGGAGAAGTCACCCCAAACCCCAGTTTAAACCCTAGCATAGACTTGCATCTCAAGCTTTCTCCATGGTTCCCAGTCATTGAAACATCTGGACTGTGTGTGTTGAAGGTCAAAATCCAAACCAGGGGTGGGGTCCTTCAGGAGTCTTGGACTTCGGTTTCCATCAGCACCAGCCAAGAAGGCAGTGGGCCAGAGGCTCTGGGATGGGAGTTGGAGTCCAAAATACCTGGAGGACACTGTCCAAGCCATCTACCAACGCCTTTGGGACTTGCCCTTAGGCTCCCAGTGCCCAGATAATGTCCGGTCTTCCTCAATCCAGATGACATCAAGCCGCACTTCCCATGACTGGCCACCGGGCACGATCCATCCATGGCCATCTCTGCAGTTAATCTACTCGCACCGGTGGGAAGG